AGAGCCAGGGAGCACGCCAGTAGCGAAGCCGCAGTGGAGGTGAGTCCAGCAGAGACAGAGGAGATGACGCAGCAGGTTAGGCACTTTCTTGCACAGGGTTTCATACAGCCATCTAGATCGCCTTGGGCAGCACCGATCCTTTTCGCACCAAAGAAAGACGGAAGGTTATGGATGTGCGTAGATTACCGCGCACTGAACGCCACCACCGTCAAGAATAGGTTTCCGGTGCCAAGAGTAGAGGATCTTCTCGATGTAGTGCAGGGCGCTAGAATCTTCTCCAAGATCGATCTTCGCTCAGGGTATCATCAGAATCGAGTAGTCCCAGAGGACCAGCACAAGACGGCGATTCGTACAAAGCAGGGGTTGTACGAGTTTAGAGTTCTACCGTTCGGTTTGACCAACGCCTCAGCGACGTTTCAGACACTCATGAACACAGTCCTCTCCGAGTTCCTAGGGTTGTTTGTTGTAGTTTACCTAGAGGACATCCTAGTCTTCTCCAAGACAAAAGAGGAGCACGTGCAGCACTTGCAGAAGGTTTTCGAGGTCTTGCGGAAGGAGCAGTTGTACGCTAAGCAGTCGAAGTGCGAGTTCTTCCTCCCCGAGGTCGAGTTTCTAGGCCACGTCGTATCCGCTAGTGGCATTAGGACTAACTCAAAGAAAATCGCAGCAGTGCAGGATTGGGTAGCTCCGACCTCAGTCAAGGAACTACAGAGCTTTCTCGGATTTGCAAACTACTACCACCGCTTTGTTTAGGGTTATGCATCGATAGCTAGTCCACTTACCGACCTACTTCGGAAGGGCGTAAAGTACGTTTGGGGTCCAGCGCAGCAGCAGACGTTCGAGCAAATGAAGCAGTCGCTCACTTCTTCACCGACACTGTCGTACCCTGATCCAACTCGCCCATACGTTGTAGTGACCGACGCTTCCGATCAGGCCATAGGAGCAATGCTTCTTCAGGACCAGGGACGCAGGTTGCAGCCGATCGTGTGCGAGTCGCGTAAGCTGAGGGGAGCAGAGTTGAACTCTCCGATTCACGACAAGGAGGCGCTCGCGATCATCCATGCGTATAAGGTGTGGAGGTTCTACCTAGAGGGGGCAAATAGTGTTATACGCACGGACCACTGTTCGCTTCATTTCCTCAAGTTGCAGCCGCAGCTGAGTCATCGCAAGGCTAGATGGATGGAGTTCATGGAGGGGAGTTTCCATTACATGATAGAGTACAAGCCAGGCATTCGCAGCCCAGTAGATCTGCTCACTCGCCCTAGTTGCCAGCTTGCTAGTCTCACAGTCACTGCCGGCCATCCACTTCTCACAGCACTCTTCGAGCACGGTTAGACAGTAGATTCCGACTTTACACCGCAGCTGCCCGCAGGAGCAGAGGTGCAGGGTAGTGTCTACATATGGAAGGGTACTACATGAATTTGGGTTCCAGCCTACAGCCCTCTTCGAGAGCTCCTTCTCTCAGAGGCGCACGACGTAGTTAGTGCAGGTAACTTTGGAGCAGATAAAACGGCTAAGACTCTTGGTCGCACGTACTACTGTCCAGGGCTTGCAGCAGACATAGAGGATTACATTCACTCATGCGACACGTGTTAGTGTACGAAGACCTCTCGCCAGCGCAAAGCAGAACTTTTGCAGCCGATTCCACCACCCGACCGTCCTTGGCAGGTAGTTACCATGGATTTCATCATGGCTTTACCGCAGACAGTTAGGGGTCATGACGCCATCTTCGTGGTAGTGGATAAGTTTTCTCGAGCAGTGTATTTCACCCCCACGCACGGCAAGGTCATAGCAAAGGAAGCTGCGACGCTGTTCGTAGATAACGTAGTCCGACTGCACGGGGTTCCAGATTCCATCATCTCAGACCACGACCCTCGTTTCACTTCGAAGTTCTGGAAGCAGCTTTTTGCACTGTTTGGGACTCGCTTAGCCATGTCGTCTGCGTACCATCCAGAGATAGATGGACAGACCGAGCATGTGAACCAGACCTTGGAGCAAATTCTTCGCAGCATCACGATTCACGACGCAGCCGCATGCGACAAGAAGCTGAGCATGGCCGTTCACATACAACAACACGCACCACTCGTCCACAGGCATGTCAACGTTCTTCGCACTATATGGTCACCACCCCAATGTCCCCACTCGTGTTGATCTCACACCCACATTCCCTGGTACGGACAACTTCCACCAGCATCTCACCTTCATTCATGATCACGTGAGGAAGCACCTTGAGCTTGCAAATGTACGCATGTGTGAGGATCTAGGATCGAGCTCAGAAATGAGAGTTTGAATTGAATTGAATTGAATGATCACCTGGGTACAACACGAGGCTATATATAGGCTCGACACAAGGCCCCGTAACCAGGTGTTACGCGAAGGTTCCGCGGGTCGCGAAGCGTCCCGAACAGATCCTTTCCGAATTCGGTAGAAGGCAATTCGGTGGCAACCGAAAAGCCAGAATTCGGTGCACGCAACCTAGCTTGGTGCTATAACTATAACAAAATATAGGAAAGCACCTAGCCTAGGAAATCAAGCAATTCATGCATGCATATAATTATCCTATGCTAGAAATAGCATAACAAAGTAAGGGCAAGCAAGCATAGCTGGCATAAGTCGTCGTATTCTCACACGATGGCACGCACCACCAACCGCAGTCGACGTGAGGTGTCGTTTGCAGTCGGCGACCGTGTTTTTCTTGATAGCCGCAACCTCCGAGTGCCACAGGACAGCAAGCTTCGCCCTCGCTTCATTGGTCCATTCGTCATTGAGCATGCAGTAGAACCAGTCGTATACCGCCTTTGCCTTCCCGCTCATTTCCGCATGCACGCGTCATTCCACGTGTCGCTTCTTCGTCCTAACACCGATCCCAACGCCACCTTCTTGGGCCGTGATCGCACTCCACTGCCGGTAGCTGTTGACACCGACGAGCCCAACTATCAGATCCAGCACATCCTCAGGCACCGTCGTCGTCTTCATGGGGGTGTCTCTTTCATCGACTTCTTGGTTCGTTGGCATGGTTACGACGCCGTAGACGTCAGCTAGGCTGCTTTGTCCTTGCTGTCTCCCGACAACGCTTGCCTCCAAGCGTACCTCCAGTCTGCAAGCGCCGCGGACGTCGCCTCCTTGGGAGGGGGGTAGTGTTAAAGGGGGATTTACTGTTCACTTTGAACAGTACTTTCCAACTCACCCTTATCCTTATCTTCCTAGATTTCCTAGTTCCACGTGGCACTCTACTTCTTTGCCTTCTAGTTCCTAGTCCCACAACCCACTTTCCCACAATTGCTCTTGCATGCTATATCAACCTTGCTTGTATTCCCTCATATCAACGAATTCTCATTCAACTCTTCGATTATCCAGTAACTTCTTCGCCTATTTCGCTAATAGTTCTTTCGCCAAAGTCTTCCGCCGCGCTTTCATCGTCGACTTAGTTGACCCCGCTATTCTTTAGCGGATTTAGGCCAAGGGGCCTAACATTAAGGTTGAAATCAAGTTTGTCTTTCTTCTAAGCAAAATCCAAGATCTATCTTTCACGACTCAAGCTTCGAGGTTCTTCAACATTCAACAACTAAGATCTACATTTCAACACTCAAGCTTGGAAGACCTTCTCCACTCAAGTCTCAAGATCTACCTTTCAATACTCAAGCTTGAAGATTCTTCATGCAACAATCAAGATCTTCAAGTCAAGCTCGGATTCTTCTTACAAAGCTTCCACAATATAACAAGTAAGACTCTTTTGAAGTAAGTCACTCTCTCTTTCATTCTCATCAAGCTTCTTTGTTTTACCAAGTTTGTTTATCAAGTTTGTTCAATGCTTCTTCATTGTATCGTCTTCATCTCTCAAGCCTTTTATCACTGGTTTAATAAACTTCATTTCCTTCTAAGCTTCATTCTCAACCTTTCATTTGAGGATTTCATCTTTTGGTCATTCACATTGTTCGTTCAACAAATTCATCAAGCTTATTTACCTGTTGCTTAAAGTTGTTTTCTTTATATGTCCTTTTACTCTTAACATTTTTCTCTTTCAAATTTCTGTTTATAGGTTCTTTGCATTGTCTTTACCCTCTCGTATGAAGTCCTTTCCTTCTTTGCCCTTCCTTATCCCTTACTTCTATTTCACGATGGTATCAAAGCCTGAGTTCATTCCTTTTTGTTGCTTTGTTACTGCGCATCTTGTTAAGCCCTTTCTAAAACACGTTGTTGTTAGCCATTAGTGGTTTTCGTGCATTTGGTCGTATGCCCCCATGTGGGATCCTTTCGTTGTGTTTCGTTTTCTCTCTTTTTTTTACGTGTGCGTATGTGTATTGTGTGCTTGGTTTTGTTTGTCTATTTTCTTCTTCTTTAGTGTGAGGCTGCTTTATTATTTATGGAAAAAATCAATCAACATGGATGAAAATGACTTAAGTGCTACAACGGGATCAACTTCACCTGCTTTCACCACCAACTCTTCAAATGAGTCTGCACCTCTTACGATCAACACACCATCCCCATCTACACCACTAACTACATCCACATTTACCTCCTCATTAGTTCCAATATTGGAAATTCCGCTTTTCAATGGCAAGGGCTTCACATTTTGGAGTATCCGTTTCCAACAAGCTACCACCCTTCTGGATTGTGGGGCGTCTATACAGGGCAACTTTGCCCCCCTTCAATTGCTGCACCTGCTCAAGAACAAAACAATTGGATAAAGAGAAATGCTGAAGCTTATCTATATCTTCTCTCTCTCTGAATGCGATATTTGTCTAGCCTGCAGTGGGGTACTCTATATTGAGTACAACCCAATTAGGATTTCCTATATGTATCTCAACTGCTGCTAGTGAAAACCCCTCTTTCCTATTCCTGATTCTTGCCTAGTATTTCGACATGCTATCAGAGCAGGTCGACCCTCCTGGGTCGATCCTGTGGGTGGGCCCCACCCGATGCTTCCGCTGCTCTACTACCTGTAGCGCGTGTCAGATTTATATGACATAGTTGCTGTAGGCTATAGTGGGGTAGCACGTATGGGGTACAGGGTTTCTAGGGTTGTATTTGTACCCAATCTTTCCTTAGTCATTCATTCCTGTTCACTTCTTTCACATGGTATAGAGCGGGTCCTTCCTTAGGACCGTTTTTTTTTAGGGCCCACCGAAGCGCGCCCCGAGGCGCGCCTTTTTTTTTAGCAACCCCTCGGGTCGCCATTTCCCTCGCGGCCCCGCTGTCCCTCAGACGCGGCCCCGCCACCCCTCCTGATCGCGGTCCCGCCGCCTGCTTGGCGCGGCCCCGCCGCCGGCTCTGACGCGGCCCTGCCGCCAGCTTCGTCGCGGCCCCGCCGCTTGCTTGACGCGGCCCCGCCGCCTCCAATGACGCGGCCCCGCTCCGCCGGCTCTGACGCGGCCCTGCCGCCCGCTTCGTCGCGGCCCCGCCGCCTGCTTGACGCGGCCCCGCCGCCTCCCCTGATGCGGCCCCACCGCCGGCTCCGCCGCTGCACCCTACGGCCCGCCGCTGCACCCTACGGCCCGCCGCCTCACCTGACGGCCCCGCCGCTGCACCTGCCGGCCCGCCGCTGCACCTGCCGGCCCGCCGCTGCACCTACCGGCCTGCCGCTGCACCCAGCGGCCCGCCGCTTCACCTGACGGCCCCGCCGCTGCACCTGCCGGCCCGCCGCTGCACCCCACGGCCCGCCACTGCACCTGCCGGCCCGCCGCTGCACCGGTCGACCCGCCGCTGCACCTGACGGCCCCGCCCCTGCATCTCCCGGCCGAGCCGCCCCAGCAGCAGAGCCGCCCCAGCAGCCGAACCCCCCGGGAGCCGAGCCGCCCAACGCCGAGCCGCCCGGGACCCGAGCCGCCCTGCTGCCGAGCCGCCCGGGAGCCGAGCCGAGCCGCCCTGCGCCCGAGCCGCCCAGCCGCCGAGCCGCCCGGGAGCCGAGCCGCTGTGCATCCGAGCCGCCCGGTCGCTGAGCCGCCTTTCTGCATAGCTGCACGACCTGCCCTGCCTGGTGAGCACAGTCCCACTGACACTACGAGCTCTTTCCCTACTGCTTGCACTGCGTCGCTGTCGTCGCCATGGCTACCCCTAGTGTCCTAGCTTTTGACGCTGAGGGTCGCGCCATTGATTTTGAGGTCTGGTTAGACGACCTGCAGCTGTTCTTATAGTGCGACAGGGCTGACGACCTTTCTCTCTTTGACCTCACCTCTGGCGCCTCTCCTGCTCCTGCTGCTGATGCTGATCCCACTGTCCGCTCTAAGTGGGCCACCCGCGATGCTGCTGCACGTCTTGCTGTGCGTCGCCACCTCCCTACCTCTGAGCGTGCGCACTTTAGTCAGTACAAGAGTGCTCAGACCTTGTACGACGCTGTAGTTGCACGCTACTCCTCCCCTGCCACTGCTGCACTGAGCCGTCTCATGCTTCCCTACCTCTTTCCTGACCTCTCTGCCTTTCCCACTGTCGCTGACCTCATTACGCACCTCCGCACTAGTGACACTCGCTACCGCGCCGCCCTTCCTGCTGAGTTCTGCGCTAAGAACCCCCCCCCCATGTACATCGCTCTCTACTACGTAGTCGCGCGCCTCCCTGACTCCCTTCGCGTCGTCAGGGACCACTTTCTCGCAGTCTGTCCCACCACCCTCACCGTCGACCTCCTCGAGAAGGCCCTCCTCGCAGCGGAGAAGAGCATAGTCGCTGTAGGTGCTTCTCGTGGTGACCCTCGCACCCCCATCTTTGAGGGGTGCTCTCCTTCCCCCTTGCTGCCCTCTGTTGCCTCTGCTGCTGCTGCCGACCTGCTTGGTCTTGAGTCGGTCGGCGCGGCGTCTGCCCCTAGTGGGAGACGTCGCTCCAGCAAGGGCAAGGGGGGCAAGGGCGCGGGTGGAGCTGGAGGGGGCGGTGGCGGTGGCGGCGGTGGCGGCGGAGGGAGTGGGGGTGGCGGCGGGACTAGTGGCGGGGGTGGTGGTGGTGGTGGCAGCAGCGGCGGAGACGGTGGTGGTGGTGCCAGCGGTGGTGGTGGAGGCAGCGGCGGAGGTGGAGGCGGCGGAGGTGGAGGCGGTGGAGGCGGCAGCGGAGGAGGCGGTGGTGGTGGAGGAGGTGGAGCTGGTCGAGGTGGTACCCAGCAGCGTAGCGGCGGTGGTGGTGGCCAGCGCTCGCAGCGGCAGCAGCAGCAGCGCTCGCGGGACATCCCTCCGCCTCAGCAGCTTCGTGAGTGGTACGCTGGGCATCAGAGGGGTGGGGGTACTGGTCCCTGCACCTACGTTCTTCGTTCCGGCGACCGCGCGGGTGAGCAGTGTGGGGGTGCCCACGCCACCCAGCGCTGCTTTGGCCGCCTGACGGACGCTTGGCGTTGGCAGTTCCCTGGGGCTAGTGAGATCCCTCGCTGGGATGAGCTTCTAAGGGCTGGTGTAGCGATCTTTGATCTTGATTTTGATGCTATCCTTGCTGCTATGTATGTTGTGGATTATAGTGAGGAGAATGAGGGTTACCGTTGTTTCCAGCCCGACCCGGGCATTGGTACTGCTGCGCTAGGTGCTTGTGAGGCTGCTGCACTAGGTGCCAATGCGTCTGTGCTCTCAGGTACTGGTGAGACTTAGCTCTCAGGTACTGCGTCGTCCTCGTCCTCCCTCACTTTCACACTTGACTCCGGAGCTTCTCGCTCCTTCTTTCGGGACCGCACTACCCTTACGCCGCTCGGCCGGCCGGTTGCGATCTCCCTTGCTGACCCCTCTGGGGGTCCTGTCCTGTCTCACTTCTCCACTGTCCTCCCGTGTCCGGCTGCCCCTTCGGGCACCCTGTCGGGTCTGTACCTTCCCTCGTTCTCTACGAACTTGGTCAGTGGAGCGGACCTGCAGGATGTGGGGGTTCACCAGTTCACTCCTGCGAGTCAGCGGGTGACCCACTGCACGGAGGCACGCACAGGCCGACACCTGGCCACGTTCTCGCGTCGGCCGGGGTCGAGTCTCTACACCCTGACCGTTGAGTCTCCTCCTGTCCCTGCGTCTGGTCAGGTGGCTGCGTCGGGTCAGGTGCTTGCTGCTGCGTCCCGGTCAGGTCTTGAGTCTGCCCCCTGTTCTTGTCGCCTCCTGTCTCACGAGACTCTCCTGTGGCACCACCATCTTGGCCACCCCTCCTTGCCCCGTCTTCGGAGCATGGCTTCCCGTGTCCTTGTCTCTGGTCTTCCCCAGTCTCTCCCTCCTCTCCCCTCCGGGCCAGGACCTTCCTGTGTCCCCTGTGTCGAGGGTTGCCTCCGGGCTACTCCTCACTCCTCCCACTTCCCCCCGACAGAGGCTCCCCTGCAGACGCTTCACATGGATGTGTGGGGCCCAGCCCCCGTCGGTGGGCAGGGTTACGAGCGCTACTTCCTGTTGGTGGTTGACGACTACCCGCGTTACACCACAGTCCTCCCCTTGCGCAGCAAGGGTGCGGTCACTGAGGTACTGATCGACTGGATCCGCGAGGCTCGTCTCCAGCTCAGGAAGAGCTTCGGCTCGGACTTTCCTGTTCTGCGTCTGCACTCGGACAGAGGCGGAGAGTTCTCTTCTCGCCTTCTGCGGGACTACCGTCGTGCACGGGGGATCCGCCAGACCTTCACGCTTCCGGACTCACCACAGCAAAATGGGATTGCTGAGCGCCGCATTGGCATGGTCATGGATGTCGCTCGTACGTCCATGATGCATGCGGCTGCCCCCCATTTTCTGTGGCCGTTTGCGGTGAGGTACGCGGCGCATCAGCTCAACCTTCACCCCCGGGTCTCTCGGCCTGCGATGTCCCCAGCCTTGCTGTGGACTGGGAAGGTTGGCGATGCGTCTGTGTTCCGTGTCTGGGGATCTCGGGCGTTTGTCCGCGACTTGTCTGCGGACAAGCTGTCCCCTCGTGCTGCTCCCTGTGTCTTCCTTGGCTTCCCCACTGACGCCCCAGGGTGGCAGTTTTACCACCCCTCCTCTCGTCGTGTTCTGTCCTCCCAGGACGTCACGTTCGACGAGTCAGTCCCCTTCTACCGTCTCTTCCCCTACCGCACTCCTTCCCTCCCCCCTTCCCCGGACTTCCTTGTGCCGGTTCCCCCCCCGGTAGACCCCCTCCTCCCTCAGGTTCCTGCCCCCTCAGGTGTGTCCCAGGTAGACGCCGTTGACCCGGTCGAGGTTACTGGTGACTCTGGTGCTGCTGCGGGTGCTGAGCCTGGGGGTGCTGACTCTGGGGGTGCTGTGCGCGGGGGTGCTGAGCCTGGGGGTGCTACTGCTGGGGGTGCTGGGCCTGGGGGTGCTACTGCGGAGGGTGCGGAGCCTGGGGGTGCTGAGCCTGGGGGGTGCTGTGCCTGGAGGTGCTGGGTCTGGGGGTGCTGGGTCGGGAGCTGCTGAGCCTGGGGGTGCTGAGCTGGGAGCTGCTGAGCCTGGGGGTGCTGCGTCTGGAGCTGCTGAGCCTGGGGTTTCTCCTGCTGCTGCGTCTCGCCGGGAGCCCCTCTCTTCACAGGAGCTGCGCGAGTGGTTCGCTCGCCGCTGGAGGCGTGCTGCTGAGTCTGGAGGTGCTGCTGGAGCTGGAGCTGGAGCTTCTTCGACCGTCGAGGGTGCGGGTGCTGCCGGTCCCGGAGCTGCAGGACCAGCGGGTCCTCCTGGAGCTGGAGCTGCTGAGGGCGTTGGTGCTGAGCCTACTGCTGTTGGTACCTGCCGCTGGAGGTGTGGGTGGCGCTGGTGCTGTCGCTGAGGGTGCTGGTGCTGTCCCTGCTGCGTCTGGAGCTGCCGCGCGGCCTCGGCCGTACTTCGTTCCGCTCCTGCAGCAGGTTCTTGGTCTTTCTCATCCAGTAGAGGGTCCACCGCCTGTCCAGTCGCAGTCCCTGCTGGAGCCTTCCTCTCCACTGCCTGCTCCCTCTCCTTACACTGGTCCTACTGGAGGTCTTGCTGAGCGTCGTGAGCCTGCGTCTCGTCCCGCGTCGCCTGTTCGTGCTGCTCGCGCTAGTGGTCGCAGTTCGCGTCAGCGTCCTCCTCCTGTCCCTGGCACGCACCGGATGTCTTTGCGTCCGTCCACTGCTCCTCTGCGTGCCCCTTTGCCTTCTCCTCCTGAGTCCTCTCTTCCTGCGCTTGCCGACCCTGAGTCGGACTCTCTTCGTGCTGCCAGTCCTACTGTCACGCGTCTGCTTGCTACTGTCGTCACTGACCCCTCTTTTGAGTCCATTGCTGCGTCTGCTCTAGTCACTGAGCTCGTCGACTTTGCTAGTCGCTGTCGTCTCGACTACGCTGCTAGTCTTGTTGCTGAGTCTGCGTCTGTCTGTCCTCCGTCCGTCGGGGGTGAGTGTGCTCTTGGCACGGACGTCCTAGAGGACAGGCAGGAGGAGTTACAGTGTCTAGCGGCTGCTTCACCTCCTCTCGCGTCTGTACTGCTTGCCCCTGAGGGAGACCCGGATGCACTAGACATCCCGACTCCGCGTTCTTACGCGGAGGCCGTAGAGGGTCCCTACTCCTCTCAGTGGCAGGCAGCTATGGATGCAGAGATGGCTTCCTTGAAGTCCACAGGCACCTACGTTGACGCGGTTCCCCCTCCTCGGGCGAACATCGTCAGTGGCATGTGGATCTTCAGGGTGAAGCGGCCGCCGGGCTCTCCACCTGTCTTCAAGGCACGGTACGTTGCTCGTGGCTTCAGTCAGCGGCAGGGAGTTGACTACTTTCAGACCTTCTCTCCCACCCCGAAGATGACTACTCTTCGGGTGCTGCTGCACATAGCCGCTCAGCGCGACTACGAGCTTCACTCTCTCGACTTCAGCACTGCGTTCTTGCAGGGTAGCCTGCACGAGGAGATCTGGCTTCGCCGTCCACCTGGCTTCACTGGGACTTTCCCTCCTGGCACCCAGTGGAGCCTCCGACGGCCAGTCTACGGTCTCCGCCAGGCACCGCGTGAGTGGCACGACACACTGAGGACTACGCTTGCGGCTCTTGGGTTTGCTCCTTCTACTGCTGACCCGTCGCTGTTTCTGCGCAACGACACTTCTCTGCCGCCGTTCTACATCCTCGTGTACGTCGAAGACTTGGTCTTTGCCACAGCGGACACTGCTGGACTCGCCTACGTGAAGTCTGAGCTGCTGAAGAGACACACGTGCACAGACCTTGGGTGAACTGCGCAGCTACCTTGGCTTGCAGATCACTCGGGACAGAGCACGCCGCACCATTACCTTGACTCAGTCACACATGGTGCAGCAGGTCCTTCAGCGCTTCGGCTTCACGTACTCCTCGCCTCAGGCCACTCCTCTGTCTACTCGCCACTCGCTCTCAGCTCTGCCTTCGGATGAGTCCGTAGAGCCGAGTGGCCCGTACCCAGAGCTTGTTGGCTGCCTCATGTACCTGATGACCTGCACACGACCTGACCTTGCATACCCTCTGAGCATTCTTGCACGCTATGTTGCTCCTGGGAGACACCGACCAGAGCACATGGCTGCAGCGAAGAGGGTGTTGCGCTACCTGTGCAGTACATCGGGCATGGGGCTAGTGCTTGGAGGGCGGAGTCCAGTGGTCCTTATAGGGCACGCGGACGCTTCTTGGGCTGACGACCAGGCTACGCAGCGGTCGTCACAGGGTTACACCTTCAGTCTTGGTTTCGGCTCTGTCTCGTGGCGGGCTACTCGCTCGTCTTCGGTTCTCAGCTTCAGTTGTGAGGCTGAGATCTACGCTGGGGCCATGGCTGCACAGGAGCTTCGCTGGCTCACCTACCTGCTGACTGACCTTGGAGAGCCGCCTCGTTCTCCTCCAGTGCTGTACGTAGACAACAAAGCCATGCTGGCCTTGTGTCGAGAGCAGCGTCTGGAGCACAGAACGAAGCACATTGCTCTTCGCTACTTCCTTGCTCGTGAGCTGCAGCAGCGTGGACAGTTGCGGCTTGCGTACGTGGCCTCTGAGGCCAACACTGCTGATGTGTTCACCAAGGCACTCGCGCCTTGTGACCATCAGCGCCTCTGCACCCAGCTGGGTCTTGTGCCTGTCTTGCCTCACTTGCTCTCCTCTTGACTTTACTTGTACTGTGACATATATATACCTGCTCTTGCTTGTCTAGTTTTATATATATATGTCTGTACTCCTGCATGCGAACTGGCCTCTGGCCATGCTCTTGTGCTCGGACTGTGTGGTGACGTTGTGATCCACCCTGAGCTTGCTCTGCTTTGCTTTACTTGACTGGTCTTGTGACCCCTTGTTCTCCCCACTTTGCCTATGGGGGTGTGTCAGATTTATATGACATAGTTGCTGTAGGCTATAGTGGGGTAGCACGTATGGGGTACAGGGTTTCTAGGGTTGTATTTGTACCCAATCTTTCCTTAGTCATTCATTCCTGTTCACTTCTTTCACAGCGCGCCCCGGGCGCGCGCCGTTTTCTTCCTGCCGTGCGCTCGGAGCGCGCAGCGTTTTTCCTTCCCGCGCGTGGCCCGTACAAGCTGCGCCAGGCTCCCGCGCGCCCGCCTGCGTCAGGCCCATGCGCGGCCCGTACAGTCTGCTCCAGTGCCGCACGCCATCCCCCGAGCTTCTCACCGCGCCCCGCCCCCGCTGTTGCCCGCGCTCCTGTGTTAGGGTTTGGGGGTGGAAAGTATGGGGGTGCCGGGTGTGTGAGCCGTCCCCTGCTCCTTCTCCTCCTCCGTCTCCCACTACTGCAACTGCCGCTGAGGGGGGTGGATGTGTTGGAGCCGTCGGAGTGGTACGAGGGGGGTGGCGTGTGAGCAGTGCTAGGGGTTCAGCAGGGGGTGTGTGAAAGGGGTGTGGGACAGTTGGGGGAGGTTGTCTGGAGGTAGCCAACTTGTCGTCCGTAGCGCCTGAAGTCCAGAGAGCCACGACCCCCTGTGGCCGTGTAGTCCGGGGCTCTGCGTCCGGTAGCCACAGTGTGAGCACTCGTGGGAGCACAGAGAGCCAGCTGCGCCTGTCGCCGTGTAGTCCGGGGCTCTGCGCCTGGTAGCGTCATTGCTGCGCTCTCCTGTTGCCCGTGTGTCTGTAGCTTCAGCCGTCGCCTCCCATCTTCTCGCCCCCCACAGTTTCTCCTCCTCCTCATTTGCCCTTTGTGATGGCCTCTAGCTTTGCTTATCCTTGTGAAATATTGCTCTACCTGCTTGTGCTGATTATACCCCACTTTGACTATGGGGGTGTGTCAGAATGTGATGTTTGTCTAGCCTGCAGTGGGGTACTCTATAGCAAGTACAACCCAATTAGGGTTTCCTATATGTATCTCAACTGCTGCTAGTGAAAACCCCTCTTTCCTGTTTCCGATTCTTGCCTAGTATTTTGACACTCTCTTCCATTCAAGATCCATACTCTCGACCCCTCCTCATCGTATCCTCTCAAAAGGGCAGCGCTAGAGCCGCATGGGAGCAATTCAAACGTCTTTATCAACCAGTTTCCCAAGGTTCTAAGGTAGAAGTTTGGAACAAATTCGTCTCACTTCGCATGAGGGACAGTGAGTCCGTCTCCGACTATTTGCAACGTGGTGAAATGGTTCTTTACAAAGCTACTCTTCTCGACATTGAAGTTCCTGGATCCCTCTTCATCACCATTCTTCTTGCTAGACTCTCATCCTCTTGGAGCTCAATGAGGAGCACCATCCAAGCTTTTCCTGAGGAGATAAGAGCCAGAGATTTCATCTTCAACACACTCATCACTGAACACAAGACACAAAAACGTGCAAAGTTTCAAAGGGACCATGGACCACCATGGAGTGGAATGACAAGTGCCAACTATCGTCCTCAACAAGGATTTCAACAACAGAGTAGGTTTCAACAAAGTGAGTCTCTCCCTGCCCAAGCACATTCTCTTCTTGGTCAACCTGCACCCAATCAGATTTCCCAACTTGCATCATACTCCAACTTGTTTCCTTATGAGCCAAAATCAAGATATCACTTTGTCTGTCTTGCTAACTGGACACCACCTTAATCTCTCCTCTCTGACAAAGGAAATTCTGCCCTTGCTATCACATCCCACACATCGCCTGGATATCAACCAGACAATGCGCATCATGGACCATCTTTTCAAATTGCTTCCCAAGTCCCCTCTCAAAACCAAGTCTCTGTTCCCTCTGTGCCACAACTCTCTTTCACACCAGAGGCAACTCATCAAGCCAACACTCCGCAGACGCCATCCGTGTCACATGAGAAAGATTCAACTCAACCAAATACACCGAGTTTTGCATTTGCATCATCCTCTTGTCTCCATGCCCTTACATGGACAGTGGATGTGATCAACATATGACCCCTCATGCATCCCTCCTTCACGGCATGTAGCCTTCTAATGTGAAGGAAGTGGTTGTTGCTAGCAACCATTTGGTGTCAAACTTATATCATATAACTTGTCTAGGCTATAGTGGGGTAGACACTATGGGGTACAGTCTCCTAGGTTTTCCTACTTGTACCCAACCTTGTGCTAGTTCATTCATTCCTCGTTTCTTATCATGGTATCAAGCCGGTTCCCTAGTGGGAACGCTCCTTAGGGCCCACCACGATATTTTTTTTTTCCTACCCGGAGCGCGCTTCGCTCCTACCCGAGTCGCGCCCCGTGTGCCCTCCCTACCGTCGCGCCCTCTCACGGCCCCTCTAGGCCCCTTCGCGTCGCCCTTAGCGGCCCCTCTCACGCCCTCTCGCGCCGCCCTTACGGCCCCTCGCGCCGCCCTTACAGCCCCTTACGGCCCCTCGCGCCGCCCTTACGGCCCCTTACGGCCCCTCGCGCCGCCCGTCGGCCCTTCTCGCCGCCCTTACGGCCCCTTACGGCCCCTCACGCTGCCCGTCGGCCCCTTGCGCCGCCCTTGCGGCTCCTTACGGCCCCTCCTGCCACCCTTACGGCCCCTCGCGCGGCCCCTTCCGGCCCCTCGCGGCGCCCTCACGGCCCCTTCCAGCCCCTCGCGCCGCCCTTCGCGGCCCCTCGCGGCCTCTTTACGGCCCGTCGCCGCCCTCCGCGGCACCTCGCGCCGCCCTTCACGGCCCCTTCGCCGCCCTTTGCGGCCTCTCGCGGCCCTGTCGCCGCCCCTACAACAACAGCCGAGCCGCCCACCAACCAAGCCGCCGAGCCGCCCACCAGCCCAGCCGCCCAGCAGCCGAGCCACCGAGCCGCCCAGCAACCGAGCCGCCGAGCCGCCCAGCAGCCGAGCCGCCCAGCAGCCGAGTTGCCGAGCCACCCTGCCGTCGAGCCCCTACTCTTCCTGCAGGTGCGCCGCGGCCCTAATTACTCGGACTGGTGAGATCACTCCCTGCTAGGCCACAACAGTCATGGCTACCCCCAGTGTCCTTACCTTTGATGCTGAGGGTCGTGCTGTTGACTTTGAGGTCTGGGTCGATGACCTCCAGCTGTTCCTATAGTGCGATAGGGCAGACGGACTCTCCCTGTTTGATCTCACCTCAGGTGCCTCTCCTGCCCCGCCTGCTACTGCTGACAGCACTGTTCGTTCACAGTGGGCCACACGCGATGCTGCTGCCCGCCTTGCTGTGCGTCGCCACTTACCAACCACTGAGCGTGCGCACTTTAGCCAGTACAAGAGTGCTCAGACCTTGTACGACGCTGTAGTTGCACGCTACTCCTCCCCTGCCACTGCTGCGCTTAGCCGCCTCATGCTGCCTTACCTGTTCCCTGACCTAACTGCCTTTCCCACTGTAGCTGACCTCATTACACACCTTCGCACTAGTGACACTCGCTACCGCGCTGCGCTTCCTACTGAGTTCTGTGCCAAGAACTCCCCCCCCATGCACATCACCCTTTACTACATAGTCACCCGGCTCCCTGACTCCCTTCGCTTAGTCACGGACCACTTCCTCTCAGTTTGCCCCACCACACTTACCGTTGACCTCCTCGAGGAGCGCCTCCTAGCAGCAGAGAAGAGCATCGTCGCTGTAGGAGCCTCTCGTGGTGACCCTCGCACCCCCGTCTTTAAGGGGTGTTCCCCATCCCCCCTCTTGCCCTCTGTTGCTTCTGCTGCTGCGGCCGACCTCGTTGGTTTCGAGTCGGTCGGCGCTGCGTCTGCCCCTAGCAGGAGACGCCGCACTGGCAAGGGCAAGGGGGGCAAGGGCGCTGGAGGGGCTGGCAGGGCCAGTGGAGGTGGTGGTGGAGGCAGTGGATGGGGTGGGGGTGGTGGTGGGAGTGGTGGCGGGGGTGGAGGTGTCGGTGGCAGCAGTGGAGGCGGAGGAGGCGGCGGCGGTGGCAGAGGGAGAGGAGGCGGCGGAGGTGGCGGAGGCGGCGGAGGTGGCGGAGGCGGCGGAGGTGGCGGAGGCGGCGGAGGTGGCGGAAGCGGCGGCGGCAGCGGTGGAGCTGGTCGCGGCTCTGGGCAGAGGAGTGGGTCCGGTGGTGGTCCGCGCTGGCAGCAGCAGCGCAGTCGTGAGACCCTGTCCCCTTAGCAGCTTCGTGAGTGGTACGCTGCGCGTCAGGGCGGTGGGGGTACTGGTCCCTGTACCTACGTCCTCCGTACCGGCGACCGCACTTGAGAGCAGTGCAAGGGCCCGCACTCCACCTAGAGCTGCTTTGGCTACCTGACGGACGAGTGGCATCACCAGTTCCCTAACACCACTGAGATCCCTCAGTGGGGAGAGCTGTCTAGGTCGGGGGTCGCTATCTTTGATCTTGATTATGATGCTCTTCTTGCTGCCATGTATGTTGTGATTGATAGTGTTGAGGGTGACTGTTACCTGTGTGTTCCGCCTGACCCGGGCATTGAGGCTGCTGCTCTAGGTGCAGGTGAGGCTGCTGCTCTAGGTGCTAGTGCGTCTGCTGCCCCAGGTGCTGGTGAGTCTGCTCTCTCAGGTACTACGTCGGCTCAGGCCTTACACACCTTCACCCTTGACTCGGGTGCTTCCCGCTCCTTCTTTCGAAACCGCACCACGCTTACGCCGCTTAGTCGGCCGGTTGCGGTCTCCCTGGCGGACCCCTCTGGGGGTCCTGTCCTTGCTAGCTTCTCCACGGTCTTATCGTGCCCGGCAGCCCCCTCTGGCACCCTGTCAGGTCTCTACCTCCCCTCGTTCTCTACAAACTTGGTGAGTGGAGCTGATCTTCAGAACAGGGGGGTTGACCAGTTCACTCCTGCGAGTCTGCGGGTGACCCACTGCACGTGTGCTCAAATGGGCCGACACTTGGCCACGTTCACCCGTCGGCCGGGGTCGAGCCTGTACACACTTACCACTAAGTCTCCTCCGGCTGCTGAGTCTGGTCAGGTAGCTGCGTCGAGTCAATTGTTTGCTGCAGCGTCCAGGTCTGGTTCCTGAGTCTGCTCCCTGCTCGTGTCGTCTCCTCTCCCACCAGACTCTCCTTTGGCACCACCGCCTTGGTCACCCCTCCCTGCCTCGTCTCCGAGGCATGGCCTCCGTGTCCTTGTCTCTGGTCTCCCCCGGTCTCTCCTACCTCCGGAGCCTGCCCCTACCTGCGTCCCCTGCGTCGAGGGGCGACAGCGCGCCGCCCCTCACTCCTCCGAGTTTCCTCCGACAGAGGCTCCGCTGCACACTCTTCACATGGACGTGTGGGACCCCACCCGCGTCCGTGGCTAGGGGCACGAGCGTTACTTCCTGTTGGTGGTTGACGACTACTCGCGTTACACCACAGTCTTCCCCTTGCGCAGCAAGGGTGACGTGACTGAGGTGTTGATCGACTGGATCCGCGCAGCTCGTCTCAAACTCAGAGAGAGTTTCGGCTCCGACTATCCTGTCCTGCGTCTGCACCCTAACAGAGGCGGGGAGTTTTCGTCTGCCCGTCTGGGAGCCTTCTGTTAAGCACAGGGCATCCACCAGACCTTCACGCTTCCGGCCTCTCCACAGCAAAATGGGATTGCTGAGCGCCGCATTGGCATGGTTATGGACGTCGCTCGTACGTCCATGATCCATGCGGCTGCCCCCCATTTTTTGTGGTCGTTTGCGGTTCAGTACGCAGTGCATCAGCTCAACCTTCAGCCCTAGATCTCCTTGCCAGAGACCTCCCCCACCTTGCGGTGGATGGGGAAGGTTGGCGATGCGTCTGCGTTTCGAGTCTAGGGATCTCGGGCGTTTGTCCGCGACTTGTCTGCGGACAAGCTGTCCCCCTCGTGCTGTTCCCTGCGTCTTCCTTGGCTTCCCCCTTGACACGCCTGGGTGGCAGTTTTACCACCCCACCTCGCGCCGTGTTTTGTCCTCCTAGGACGTCACCTTTGACGAGTTGGTTCCTTACTACCGTCTCTTCCCCTACCGCATTAGCGCCCCTCCCCCCGCCGCCGCTCTTCCTTGCGCCAAGGTCCTCCCCCGGTAGACCCCCTCCCCCCTCAGGGTTCTGCCCAGTCAGGTGTGTCCAAAGTAGACGCTGTCGAGACTGTCGAGGAAGCTGTTGACTCTGGTGCTGCTAGAGGTGGTGAGCCTGCGGGTGCCGGGTCTGGAGGTGCTGAGCCTGAGGGTGCGGAGCCTGGGGATGCTCAGTCAAGGGGTGCGGAGCCTGGGGGTGCTCAGCCTGGGGGTGCTGAGTGTGGGGGTGCAGAGCCTGGGGGTGCTGAGTCTGGGGGTGCTCAGCGTGGGGGTACGGAGCCTGGGGGTGCTGAGTCTGCTCTTGTGGCCTCTCGCGGTGCTTCGTCGAGGCGAGAGCCACTCTCTTCGCAGGAGCTGCGCGAGTGGTTTGCCCGCGTTGGAGCCGTGCTGCTGGAGCTGGAGACACTACTGTTGCTGCTGGTCTCGGAGGTGCTCGTACTAGCGGTACAGGAGCTGCTGGGACTGGGGGTGCTGCTGGGGCTGCTGGAGTTGGTGCTGCTGGAGCTGCTAGAGCTGGAGCTGCTGGGGGTGTTGGCGCTGGTGGTTCTGCTATCGCTGGTGCTTCTGAGGGTGCTGGAGTTGGCGCTGTTGGAGCAGGAGGTGCTACTGGCGCAGGTGCTGCCGCTTGGAGTACTGGTGCTGTCCCTGCTAGTTCTAGAGGCGTTGCGCGGCCGCGGCCGTACTTCGTTCCGCTCCTTGAGCAGGTTCTTGGTCTCCCGCCCTCTACAGGTCCTGCTCCTCCCTTGGAGTGTCTACCGCCTATTCGGTTGCAGTCAGAGTTACAGCCCGCCTCCCCTCTACCTGCTCCTTCTCCCTACACTGGTCCTACTAGAGGTCTTGCTGAGCGTCGTGAGCTTGCGTCTCGTCCTGCGTCGCCTGTTCGTGCTGCTCGCACTAGTAGTCGTGCTCCGCGTCCGCGTCATCCTACTGTCCCAGGCACACACCAGATGGCACTGCGTCCTTCCACTGCTCCATTGCGTGTCCCGTTGCCGTCTTCTCCACAGTCCTCTCTTCCTATTTCAGCTGACCCTAAGTCAGACTCTCTTCGTGCTGCCAGTCCTACTGTCACGCGTCTCCTGGCCACTGTTGTCACTGACCCTTCCTTTGAGTCCACTGTTGCGTCGGCCCTAGTTGCTGAGCTTGTCGACTTTGCTGCTCTCTGTTGTCTAGACTACGCTGCTAGTCTTGTTGGTGAGTCTGAGTTTGTCTGTCCTCCGTCCGTCGGGGGTGAGTGTGCTCATAGCACAGATGTTCTTGAGGAAAGGCAGGAGGAGTTCCGGTGTTTTGCTGCTGCTTTGCCTCGTCTCGTGTCCACGCTAATTGCCCGTGAGGGAGACCCGGATGCACCAGACATCCCGACTCCTCGATCATACGCTGAGGTGATCGAGGGTCTCTACTCCTCTCAATGGCAGTCAGCCATGGACGCAGAGATGGCTTCCTGGAAGTCCACAGGCACCTACGTCGACGAGGTTCCCCCACCTGGGGCGAACATCGTCAGTGGCATGTAGATTTTCAGGGTGAAGCGGCCGCCGGGTTCTCCGCCTGTCTTCAAGGCGCGTTGCGTGGCTCGAGGCTTCAGTCAAGGGCAGGGAGTTGAATACTTTCAGACCTTCTCTCCCACCCCGAAGATGACCACTCTTTGGGTGCTGCTGCACATAGCCGCTCACCGTGACTGGGTCGTTTACCTCCCTTGACTTCAGCACAGCTTTCCTGCAGGGCAGCCTGCACGAGGAGATCTAGCTGCGCCGCCCACTCAGCTTCACTGGGTCGTTTCCTCCTAGTACCCAGTGGAGCCTCCGGCGGCCAGTCTACGGTCTCCGCCAGGCGCCCCGTGAGTGGCACGACACACTGAGGACTACACTTGCGGCTCTTGGGTTTGCTCCTTCTACAGCCAACCCGTCGCTGTCTCTTCGCACCGAAACCTCTTTGCCGCCGTTCTACATCCTCGTGTACGTCGACGACTTGGTCTTTGCCACTGCTGACACTGCTGGACTCGCCCACATGAAATCGGAGCTGCAGAAGAGACACACGTGCACAGACCTGGGTGAACTGCGCAGCTACCTTGGCTTGCAGATCACCCGGGACAGAGCACAGCGCACCATTACCCTGACTCAGTCACACATGGTGCAGCAGGTCCTTCAGCGCTTCGACTTCACGTACTCCTCGCCTCAGGCCACTCCTCTGTGTACTCGCCACTCGCTCTCAGCTCTGCCTTCGGATGAGTCCGTAGAGCCGAGTGGCCCATACCCAGAGCTTGTTGGCTGCCTCATGTATCTGATGACCTGCACACGACCTGACCTTGCATACCCTCTTAGCATCTTGGCACGCTATGTTGCTCCTGGGAGACACCGACCAGAGCACATGGCTGCAGCGAAGAGGGTGTTGCGCTACTTGTGCAGTACATCGGGCTTGGGGCTACTGCTTGTAGGGCAACGTCGAGTGGTCCTCACAGGTCACGCAGACGCTTCTTGGGCTGACGACCAGGCTACGCAGCGGTCGTCACAGGGTTACACCTTCAGCCTTGGTTCCGGCTCTGTCTCGTGGCGGTCTACCCGCTCGTCTTCTGTTCTCGGCTCCAGCTGTGAGGCTGAGATCTACGCGGGGGCCATCACTGCACAGGAGCTACGCTGGCTCACCTACCTGCTGACTGACCTAGGAGAGCCGCCTCGTTCTCCTCCAGTTCTATACGTAGACAACAAGGCCATGTTGGCCTTGTGTCGGAAGCACAGACTGGAGCACAGAACGAAGCACATTGCTCTCCGCTACTTCCTTGCTCGTGAGCTGCAGCAGCGTGGTCAGCTGCGCCTTGCTTACGTGGCCTCTGAGGCCAACATTGCTGATATCTTTACCAAGGCACTTCGGCTTGGTGATCATCAGCGCTTCTGTACTATGCTAGGTCTTGTGCCTACTTGGCCTCACTTGCTCACTTCTTGACCTTGCTTGTACTGTGATCTTTCTATACCTGCACTTGCCTGTTTACTTTTATATATGATCTTGCATGTGAACTGGCCTTGTGGCCTTGCTCTTGTTCTCGGATTGTGTGGTGACGTTGTGATCCACCCTGAGCTTGCTTTGCTCTGCTTGACTGGTCTTGTGACCTCTTGTTCTCTCCCACTTTGCTTATGGGGGTGTGTCAAACTTATATCATCTTAGCTTGTCTAGGCTATAGTGGGGTAGACACTATGGGGTACAGTCTCCTAGGTTTTCCTACTTGTACCCAACCTTGTGCTAGTTCATTCATTCCTCGTTTCTTATCATTTGGTGCTAGTTCAAGCAGAGGGGACAATGAATTTCCTCAGTCCAAAAGGGATTCATATGTCATTCTCAGGCATCTTGCTTGTCCCCTCACTTTGTGCAAACCTTCTCTCAATTGGTCAAATGGAAGAGAAGGGTATCTCTATTTCTTTCTCAGATGGTTTAGTGCAGATTCATGCTCCAACTGGGCATCATACTGCAAGAGGTGTTTGTAATGAACGTCTCTATTGAGTGGAGATCGATGCACAGCCACCTACCAAGCCCTACAGCAGTCCCTCTGTTGCTGCTGCTACCACCTCGGTAAGACTTCACCCTGATACATCCGCATCTCCTTACACTTGGCATTGTCGTTTTGGTCATCCTGAAGAGTCCAGCATCACACGAATGCAAGCACATGCAAGCGTTGATGGTCTTATCATCCCCAAAAAATTGTCATCCTCTCAGTCATCGTGTCACACTTGTGTTGAGGCTAAGCTTCCTCGTAATCCGTTCTATTTTTCTGAAGTCTCTCGACCACTTAAGCTCATTCATAGTGACCTGATGGGTCCTTCCCGTACACCGAGTTGTACTAGGAAGAAACATGCCATGTCACTCATTGATCATCATACAAAAACTGCATGGATCTCCCTTTTTGGGTCCAGCACTCAGTGTTATTTAGTCATGGTTTCCTTACGTTGAGCGCCAGGTGGGTCTCAATGTAAAGATATTTCGTGGAGGAGAGTACATGTCAAATTCTTTCCGCTCTTTTCTTGCCAACCTTGGAGTTGAGCAGGAATTATCATGCCTAGCAACACCTCAACAAAATGGTACTGCAGAGAGGTACATATGATTTCAAGATGTTTTCTTTCCCACATGAATCTGGATGACTCATGGTGGGGAGAAGTTGTTACCCATGCTGCTTGGGTCAAGAATCATCGGCGAACAAGCTCTCTTGCTAAGGGTATCACACCCTATGAGGCATTATGCGGCATAAAGCCAAATGGGTCCATGCTTAGAGTTTTTGGTTGTTTGGGTCATTAGAAGGTGCTGGATGATAAACGCAGTAAGCTTGAAAGCAAGGCAGCATGGGGCATGCATATGGGCATGGCTAAGGAAACTAAGGTTGGTTGATGTGGGATCCTCTCCTAAAAGGGGACATTCCGTCAAGGGACGTGATCTTCTATGAAGACATGTCCTCGTCTTCTTGGAAATCTTCTTTCCCTCTTGTGTCCTCTCAAGTTCCTCCCCTTTCTACCTTAGCAGATCTCAAACTTCCAACAATCATCACCGCAGCAGCAACATGAAGACATGTCTCAAAATCAAGACCAACAACCATCGCCATTATCTTCTACCCCCACCCCTCATCAACAAAAGCAACAGCAGCAGCAGCCATCATCGCCTCAATCACAATAGCAACCATCTCCACCCGATTTACCTCCTCCTCTTCAATCCTCTCATACTCTTTAGCAGCACCAGCAGCAACATCCCAACACTCACCCTTTTCAACCTTCCCTCACACCTCTCGTCGTTCATCGGCCTAGCAGCTATTGTCCAACAGCCCCTCTTCACCTTCCGAGATCATCGTCAACTTCCACCGTCAACCATGCAGCCACCACCAACACAACAACACACATCTTCTCATATCCAGCATTCGACAACTCCGACTGCTAGAGTTCCATCAGGAGTCCATTCTCAACCAGCAGCACCGCCAAAGTCACCCAACCGGATTGATATCAATTATCCACCAAACGTGAGCACGTCGTCCTCTGCAGCACCACCAACATTTTCTACTTTGTCTTCTGCGCAATTCACCTCTCTTGTACCACAATCCACCCTCAGCTCACCTACAAGTCATTTATGTAGCGGTCGCACCTTCTTCCAATGCAGGATCCATGCCACGTGTTTCGTCATCTCTCAACTTCCACCCGGGCCTCTCAATCGAAAAGAAGCTATGGCAGGAGCATTTAAGGAGCAGTGGTTAGCAGCGGAAAAGGCAAAACTGGAAAGTTCACTTGACCGAGGAACTTGGACTTTGGAGTCATTACCTAAAGGAAAGAAGCTCGTGGGAGTGAAATGGGTCTACCGAGTGAAGCTGAAGGGTGATGGATCTCTAGAAAAGTTCTAGGCTCGTTTGGTCGCCAAATGATATTCTCAAGTTCCTAGACAAGACTACAATGAAACATTTGCTTAGGTCGCCAAGTACACTAGTGTACGCGCTCTTCTTGGCATGGCAGTATGGATGGATCTCTACATTATTCAGCTGGACGTCTGCAACGCCTTTCTTTACGGCATTTAAGAGGAGGAGATCTACACGGTTCAACCTAATGGGTATCACGATGATGCTGAGAAAGTCTGCAGGCTGCTCAAGTCCCTGTATGGCCTGAAGCAAGCTCCACGAGTTTGGTATCACGCATTGGAGTCCGCCCTGCTGGCACAAGGATTCACACAGTCTGAGTAAGACCTTGCACTCTATATTCAGCATATGGAGGTGCATGAGATACTGTGGCTGATCGTGTATGCGGATGGCATCCTCATGGTGTCAGCTTCTCTCTCCCTTCTTACCCACATCAAAGGTATGCTCACCAAGGAGTTTGTTATGACAGACATGGGTGAGCCATCGTATTACCTTGGCATGAACATCATTCGTGACCGTCCTTCTTGCTCTCTCTTTCTTTCACAAGAGTGATACATTCACAGGGTCCTCTCTTGATTCGGCCTTCTCACATGCAATCCTGCATCTACACCTCTCCTTTCTAATTTTCAGCACACCTCTCCTTCCACTTTTGACCTTCAGCCCTCTCAATCTGAACCCTTTTCTAATTGGGACAAGTTTCACGAGGCTCTTGCGCCTTCATCTTCTTCATCCCCTTCTTCTTGCGCACCTCCTTCATCACTCCTTTCCCCCTCCGGCATTAGTCTTTACCAATGCATTGTCGGTAGCCTCATGTACGCATCTATCTGCACCTGCCCAGACCTCACTCATGATCTGGGCGTGCTTTCTCGATTCCTTCCCTCGCCATGTACTCAGCACGCTGCGAAGCGTGTCTTGCGCTACATCTCTGGCTCTAAATCTTTTGGTTTCCTCTTTCATGGGCATGAGTATGGTAGTGTCTTCCATGGTTTCAGGATGCCGATTGGGCAGGTCCTCTTTCAAAGCGGAAATCCACTAGAGGCTACATGTTTGTGATAGCGGGAGCAGCTATTTCTTGGCAATCGAAGAAGCAAGGCTGTGTGGCATTATTTTCATCGGAGGCGGAGTACATTGCTGTGACGCAAGGAGCAAGAGAGGCTGTGTGGCTGAGAGGGTTGGTGACGGAGTTCGGTCTTCCCGAGCATGAGGGTTGGTGGTCGTCGCGCAACACTTCTCAGCCTGAGTAGGATATGGCATGGTAAAGGTGGGGAAAAGCTCAGCACCTGAGCTCCATACATAATCACAGCAAGGGCTGTGTGAGAGTACGACGGCTTATGCTGGCTTTGCTAGCTTGCCTAGACTTTATTACGCTATATCTAGCTTGGGTTTTATTTATCATGCATAGATATGCTTGATTTCCTAGGTTAGGTGCATTCCTACATTTTATTATAGTTATAGCACTGAACCAGGTTACGTGTACCGAACTCAAGCCTATTCGGTTTCCACCAAATTGATTTCTACTGAGTTCGGGAAGGTTCTGTTCGGGACGCTTCGCGACCCTCAGAACATTCCCGTAACATCTGGGTAACTGGTCTTGTGTCGAGACTATATATAGCCTCGTGTTGTATCCAGGTGAATCATTCAATCACATTCTCTTTTCTGAGCTCGATCCTAGATCCGCACACTTGGTAGTCAGAGCCTGTTTGCAAGCAAAGTTTTTCGACCCCTTAAACCTAGCTTTTAAAACCGCGGGGCGATGATGGAAAGCGCCGACTTCGGGTGCGTAAATCAGTTCCACGCTATTTTCTAACGTCCCCCTCGAACCGGTTTTCGAACACTCCTCAGGTCCAGTGGCGAAAAGGTTGGAATTTCGACCGTCAGATCGATTCGAATCTCAACGGTCCTGAGAATTTCGCTCAAAAAGTTGGAATTTGGAGCGTCGGATCGACTTTCTTCTCAACGGCCGAGATCGGACACAAATTTTGATTACGGGAGATCCACGCAACCTACAGAATCAGCGCTCATCATTTCTACATAATTTATTTATTTTTGTCGCATATCTTCCTATAAATCGCCAAATGGAGGAAAATGGTGATAATTCGCTGAGTGGTGTAACCCGACTCGGAGTTACACACCAGGCCTGGACCAGACGCGAGCAGCACTCCAGCGAATAGAGGAGCTTCTTGCGAACCAGCCGGCAGCCGCCATAGCAGCAGTGAACACAGCAGCAAATGCAGCAGCGACGGCAGCAGCACCACCAACACCAACACTTCACCCAGCAGCAGCGACAGCGGCTACAGTGAATCTTGAGGCGGCACGTCCGAGGCTACCGGAGACGTTCAATTTGAATGCGAGAGACACCAACGTTCGTCGATTCATTGCGACCCTTGAAATTTACTTCGAGGCCGTTGGCTGTACGACCCCAACACACGATGCAATGCGGATTCTATCAGACTTGTATGACTTAGCTTGTGTAGGCTATAGTGGGGTAGCACATATGGGGTACAACACATTTCTAGGTTTGTACTTGTACCCAACCTTTCCCCTTAGTCATTCATTCCTCATTTCTTAACATGCTATAGAGCAGGTTCCCTAGTGGGAACGCTTCTTAGGGCCCACCACTGAAAATCGAAATATTATTTTCTGACCGGAGCGCGAGTCGCCCCTGCCCGAGACGCGCCCCTTGGGCCGCCCTCTCGTCGCGTCCCCTGCCCTTAGCGGCCCGTCGCGCCCTCCTAGAGGCCCCTCTCACGGCCCCTTGCGCCACCCCTAGTGGCCCCAGTCGCCGCCCTTCGCGGCCCGTCGCCGCCCCTCGCGGCCCCGTCGCCGCCCCTCGCGGCTCCGTGTCCGCCCCTCGTGGCCCCGTCGCCGCCCGTTACGGCCCCTCGTGGCCCCTTCGCAGCCCTGTTGCCGCCCTACGCGGCCCCTCCCCAGTCCCAGCAGCAGCAGCGGCCACCTCTACCGCTGCAGCCACCGCCGCTGCCGACTTCAGCTGCCTCTGCTGCCGCCCGCCGCCGCCGCTACCGCTCTCGAAGCCGCAGCCGCCGCCGCCGCAGCCAAGATAGCAGCCGCCGCAGCAGCTACAGCCGAGGCCCCGGTCGCCGCGGCCGTTGACTACAGTAGCAGCCGCCGCAACTGTCAAGCCGTAGCCGCCGCCACAGCCGCTGTCGCCGCCACTCTTGCGGCCCTGTCCCTGCTGGCGCGCCTCGGCCCTGCCTCACCACCTGCGGGCCTCTACCTACCCGCCCTGGTAAGGAGCACTCCCGAGCAACGCCTCTACCACCGCCCTGCTCATACTGCTAGCATGCTGCTGCCACTGCTGCCATGGCTGCTCCTACTATTCTCACTTTAAATGCTGAGGGTCGGGCTGTCGACTTTGAGGTCTGGGTAGATGACCTACTACTTTTCCTACAGTGCGATAGGACAGATGGTCTCTCCCTATTCGATCTCACGTCTGGCGCCTCTCCTGCCCCTCCTGCCGATGCTGACAGCACTATTCGCTCACAGTGGGCCACACGTGATGCTGCTGCCCGTCTTGCTGTTCGTAGTCACTTGCCGTCCTCTGAGCGCGCGCACTTTGGTCAGTATAAGAGCGCTAAGACCCTGTATGACGCTGTAGTTGCACGCTACTCTTCCCCTGCCACTGCTGCTCTTAGTCGCCTCATGCTGCCGTACCTGTTCCCTGACCTCGCCACCTTTTCCACAGTCGCTGACCTAGTTACGCACCTTCGCACTAGTGACACTCGCTACCGCGCTGCGCTCCCTGCTGAGTTCTGCACCAAGAACCCCCCCCCCCCATGTACATCACCCTCTACTACATAGTCACCCGGCTCCCTGACTCCCTTTGCTCGGTCAGGGACCACTTCCTCTCTGTTTGCCCCACCACACTCACCGTTGACCTCCTCGAGGAGCGCCTCCTGGCAGCAGAGAAGAGCATCGTCGCTGTAGGAGCCTCTCGTGGTGACCCTCGTACTCCCTTCTTTGAGGGGTGTTCCCCCTCCCCCCTCCTGCCCTCTGTTGCCTCTGCTGCTGCGGCCGACCTCGTTGGCCTTGAGTCGGTCGGAGCTGCGTCTGCCCCTAGCGGGAGACGCCGCACCGGCAAGGGCAAGGGGGGCAAGGGTGCTGGAGGAGCTGGTGGGGGTGGTGGAGGTGGTGGTGGAGGCGGTGGAGGGGGTGGGGGCGGTGGTGGGAGTGGTGGCGGGGGTGGGGGCGTCGGTGGCGGCATTGGAGGCGGAGGAGGCGGCGGCGGTGGTGGTGGGAGCGGAAGAGGCAGGGGTGGCGGCGGCGTCGGAGGTGGCGGCGGCAGTGGTGGGACTGGTCGGAGCGGCTCTGCGCAGAGGGGCGGCTCCGGTGGTGGTCAACGCCAGCAGCAGCAGCGCACTCGTGAGACCCCGTCCCCCCAATAGCTTCGCGAATGGTACGCTTCGCGTCAGCGCGGTGGGGGTGCTGGTCCCAGTACCTACGTCCTGCGTACCGGCGACCGTACGGGTGAGCAGTGCGGGGGCCTGCACCCCACCCAGCGCTGCTTCGGTCGCCTGACGGACGCCTGGCGTCTCCAGTTCCCTGACGCCACTGAGATCCCTCGGTGGGGAGAGCTGCAGAGGTCGGGGGTTGCTATCTTTGATCTTGATTATGATGCTATTCTTGCTGCCATGTATGCTGTGTCTACTAGTGATGAGGGTGATTGTTGCCTGTGTGTTCCGCCTGACCCGGGCATTGGGACTGCTGCTCTAGGTGTTGGTGAGGCTGCTGCTCTAGGTGCTAGTGAGTCTGCTGCCCCAGGTGCTACTGAGTCTGCTCTCTCAGGTACCACGTCGGCTCCAGCCTCCCACACCTTCACCCTTGACTCAATTGCCTCCCGCTCCTTCTTTCGAGACCGCACCACACTCACGCCGCTTAGTCGGCCAGTTGCGGTCTCCCTGGCAGACCCCTCTGGGGGTCCTGTCCTTGCCCACTTCTCCACTGTCTTACCGTGTCCGGCGGCCCCTTCTGGCACCCTGTCAGGTCTCTACCTCCCCTTGTTCTCTACGAACTTGGTGAGTGGTGCTGACCTACAGGATGCGGGGGTTGACCAGTTCACTCCTGCGAGTGAGCGAGTGAACCACTGCACATGTGCTCGGACGGGCTGACACTTGGCCACGTTTACTCGTCGACCGAGGTCGAGCCAGTACACACTAACTACTGAGTCTCCTCCAGTTTCTGCGTCAGGTCAGGTAGCTGCGTCGGGTCAGGTGTCTGCTACGGCGTCCAGGTCTGGTCCTTTGTCTGCCCCCTGCTCGTGTCTTCTCCAGTCTCACCAGACTCTCCTCTAGCACCACCGCCTTGGTCACCCCTCGCTGCCTCGTCTCCAAGGCATGGCCTCCCGTGTCCTTGTCTCTGGTCTCCCCCGGTCCCTCCCTCCTCTTCCTCCGGGGCCTGCCCCCACCTGCGTTCCTTGCGTCGAGGGGAGGCAGCGTGCTGCTCCTCACTCCTTTGAGTTTCCTCTAACAGAGGCTCCGCTGCAGACGCTTCACATGGACGTGTGGGGCCCAGCCCGCGTCCGTGGACAGGGTCATGAGCGTTACTTCCTGCTGGTGGGTGACGACTACTCGCGTTACACCACAGTCTTCCCCTTGCGCAGCAAGGGTGAGGTCACTGAGGTGTTGATCGGCTGGATCCACCCTGCTCGTCTCCAGCTCAGAGAGAGTTTCGGCTCGGACTTTCCTGTACTGCGTCTTCACTCCGACAGAGGCGGTGAGTTTTCCTCTGACCTTCTGCGAGCATTCTATCGTGCACAGGGCATCCGCCAGACGTTCACGCTTCCGGCCTCTCCACAGAAAAATGGGATTGCTGAGCGCCGCATTGGCATGGTCATGGACGTCGCTCGTACGTCCATGATTCATGCGGCTGCTCCTTATTTTCTGTGGCCGTTCGCGGTTCGGTACGCGGCGCATCAGATCAACCTTCAGCCCCGAGTCTCCTTGCCAGAGACCTCCCTTACTCTGCAATGGACAGGGAAGGTTGGCGATGCGTCTACGTTTTGTATCTGGGGATCTCGGGCTTTTGTCCGCGACTTGTCTGCGAAAAAGCTGTCCCCCCGTGCTGTTCCCTGCGTCTTCCTTGGCTTCCCCCCTGACGCGCCTGGTTGGCAGTTTTACCACCCCACCTCGCGCCGTGTTCTGTCCTCCCAGGACGTCACGTTTGACGAGTCGGTTCCTTACTACCATCTCTTCCCCTACCGCACTACACCCCTCCCCCCGCCGCCGCTCTTCCTCGCGCCAGATCCCCCCCCGATAGACCCCCTTACCCCTCAGGGTGTGTCTCAGGTAGACGCAGTCGAGCTTGTCGAGGTAGCTGTTGACTCTGGTGCTGCTAGGGGTGCTGAGCCTGCGGGTGCGGGGTCTGGGGGTGCTGAGCTTGGGGGTGCTGAGACTGGGGGTGCTGAGTCTGGGGGTGCTAAGCCTGGGGGTGCTGAGTCTGGGGGTGCTGAGTCTGGGGGTGCTGAGCCTGGGGGTGCGGAGCCTGAGGGTGCTGGACCTACTCGTGTGGAGTCTGGCGGTACTGGGTCTGGAGGTCCCTCGGGTGCTTCGTCCCGACGGGAGCTGCCCTCTCCATAGGAGCAACGCGAGTGGTTTGCTCGGCGCTGGAGCCGTGCTGCTGGAGCTGGAGGTGCTGCTGGGGCTGGAGGTTGTGTTGCTACTAAGGGTGCTGGTGCAACGGGTCCCGGAGGTGCTCGTAACCGGGGGTACTGGAGCTGCTGGGCCTGCGGGTGCTCCTGGTGCTGGAGCTCGTGGTGCTGCTGGAGTAGGTGCTACTAGAGGTGTTGGAGCTGGGGCTGCTCCTTCTTCTGGTGGTCTGAGTGGAGCTGGAGATGCTAGGGGTGCTACTGGTACTGGTGCTGTTCCTGCTGGTTCTTAGGGGCACTGCACGGCCGCGGCCGTACTTCGTTCCGCTCCTTGAGCAGGTTCTTCATCTTTCGTCCTCTCTTGGTCCTGCTCCTCTCTTAGAGTGTCCGCCGCCTGTCTAGTCCGAGTCACAGTTACAGCCAGCCTCCCCACTTCCTTCTCCCTCTCCTTACACTAGTCCTACTGGAGGTCTCACGAAGCGTCGTGAGCCTGCACCTCGTCCTGCGTCGCCTGTCCGTGCTGCTTGTACGAGTGGTCGTGGTTCGCGTCAGCGTCCTCCGCCTGTCCCCGGCACGCATCGGATGTCTCTACGCCCTTCCACTGCTCCGCTGCGTGCTCCTTTGCCTTCTCCTCCTGAGTCCTCTCTTCCTGCTCTTGCTGACCCGGAGTCGGACTCCCTTCGTGAGACCCGGATGTACCAGACATCCCGACTCCTTGATCGTACGCTGAGGCGATCGAGGGTCCCTACTCCTCACAGTGGCAGTCAGCCATGGACGCAAAGATGGCTTCCTGCAAGTCCACAGGCACCTACGTCGACAAGGTTCCCCCACCTGGGGCGAACATCGTCAGTGGCATGTGGATTTTCAGGGTGAAGCGGCCGCCGGGTTCTCCGCCTGTCTTCAAGGCGCGTTACGTGGCTCGAGGCTTCAGTCAGCGGCAGGGAGTTGACTACTTTCAGACCTTCTCTCCCATCCCTAAGATGACCACTCTTTGAGTGCTGCTGCACATAGCCGCTCAGCGCGACTACGAGCTTCACTCTCTTGATTTTCTTGCAGAGCAGCCTGCACGAGGAGATCTGGCTGCGTTGCCCACCTGGCTTCACTGGGTTGTTTCCTCCAGGTACCCAGAGGAGCCTCCGGCGGCCATTCTACGGTCTTCGCCAGGCGCCCCGTGAGTGGCACGACACACTGAAGACTACACTTGCGGCTCTTGGATTTGCTCCTTCTACTGCCGACCCGTCGCTGTTTCTACGCACCGACACCTCTTTGCCGCCGTTCTACATCCTCGTGTACGTCGATGACTTGGTCTTTGCCACTTCTAACACTGCTGGACTCGCCCATGTGAAGTCCGAGCTGTAGAAGAGACGCACGTACACAGACCTGGGTGAACTGGGCAGCTACCTTGGCTTGCAGATCACCCGGGACAGAGCACAGCGCACCATTACCCTGACTCAGTCACACATGGTGCAGCAGGTCCTTCAGCGCTTCGGCTTCACGTACTCCTCGCATCAGGCCACTCCTCTGTCTACTCGCCACTCGCTCTCAGCTCTGCCTTCGGATGAGTCCGTAGAGCAGAGTGGCCTGTACCCAGAGCTTGTTGGGTGCCTCAGGTACCTGATGACCTGCACTCGACCTGACCTTGCATACCCTCTTACCATCTTGGCACGCTATGTTGCAACGGGAGACACCGACCAGTGCATATGGTTGCAGCAAAGAGGGTGTTGCGCTACTTGTGCAGTACGTCAGGCATGGGGCTAGTGCTTGGAGGGCGACGTTCAGTGGTCCTCACAGGTCACGCAGACGCTTCTTGGGCTGCCGACCAGGCTACGCAGCGGTCGTCACAGGGTTACACCTTCAGCCTTGGTTCCGGCTCTGTTTTGTGGCGGTCTACCCGCTCGTCTTCATTTCTCAACTCCAGCTGTGAAGCTGAGATCTACGCGGGGGCTATGGCTGCACAGGAGCTACGCTGGCTCACCTACCTACTGTCTGACCTAGGAGAGCCGCCTCGTTCTCCTCCGGTTCTGTACGTAGATAACAAGGCCATGCTGGAGCACAGACTGGAGCACAGACTGGAGCACAGAACTAAGCACATTGCTCTTTGCTACTTTCTTGCTCGTGAGCTGCAGCAGCGTGCTCAGCTGCGCCTTGCTTACGTGGCCTCTCAGGCCAACACTGCTGATATCTTTACCAAGGCACTTCCGCCTTGTGATCATCAGCGCTGTTGTACGATGCTAGGTCTTGTGCCTACTTGGCCTCACTTGCTTACTTCTTGACCTTGCCTGTATTGTGATCTTTCTATACCTGCACTTGCTTGTTTACCTTTATATATGATCTTGCATGTGAACTTGCCTTGTGGCCTTGAACTTGTGCTCGGAATGTGTGGTGACGTTGTGATCTACCCTGAGCTTGCTTTGCTTTGCTTGACTGGTCTTTTGACCTCTTGTTCTTCCCCACTTTGCCTATGGGGGTGTGTCAGGCTTGTATGACTTAGCCTATGTAGGCTATAGTGGGGTAGCACATATGGGGTACAACACATTTCTAGGTTTGTACTTGTACCCAACCTTTCCCCTTAGTCATTCATTCCTCATTTCTTAACAGATTCGGCTCGCATTGACACAGTTGCGAGGCCCGGCGCTCGAGTGGATTTACAATAGCAACGAGGTCCGAGGCGAGGGGTCATGGACGCAGTTTTGGGAAGCTTTAATTCAACGTTTCGAACCAATCAACTCCAGCTACATGGCGCGGCAGCAGATTCATCGGCATAAACAGTTCGGCAGTGTAACATAGTACACGCAGCAGATGGAGAGCCTCTTCAACCGGATTACCGACCTGAACAAAGGGGAAAAAATCCAAGCGTATACTGAGGGGCTAAAAATGGAAGTCCGCCGACAGGTGATTGCCGCGAACTACAACAACTACTTCGACATGGTATGTGCAGCAGAGAGATTCGATGCGCTGATGCGGTGTGAACCCGAGACACGACGCCACGTGCCGAACCGATAATTTGGTACGAAGCGATCGGCACCACCCACGACCGCTGACCCTGTCAAACATTATATATGTTATAGTTATGTAGGCTATACTGGGTTTAGCCTTAGGGGGTACACAATTCTAGGTTTCCTACTTGTACTCTCAATCTTTCTAGTGCAACCACTCCTTCTCATTCTAACATGGAATCAGGAGCCTAGGTTAGGAACCTAGGACCACGTGTTACTAAGGGCCCGTCCTTCCGCTAGCACCCTCGAGCGCCTTCTCACTTTAGCGCCCTCGCGCGCCTCGCTGTCCGTGCGCCCTCGCGCGCCTCGCTGTCTCGTTGCGTAGCCCACTAGAAGCCTGCGCGTGGCCCGTTTTTGCCCATGCGCGGCCCGTTTTTGCCCTCGCGTGGCCTCCTTCTAGTGCGCGCGACCCCCCCCTTGCCGCCCACGCCGTCGACGTAGCCCGCCCTGGCCTCGCACGGCCCCTAGAGCAGCTCGCCAGCTTCCCGTCGACCGGCACGCGCCGCCACCTTCGCCCATGCAGGCCGCCGCCCGTGCGTAGGTCGCCGCCCACGCGTAGGCCACAGCCAGCCCGTAGGCCGCCACCTCGACCCGCGCGCCGGCCCACCCTCTTTGCCGAGCCGCGCCGCGCAGTCCTGCCCGAGCCGCGCCGCCCGAGTCGCGCCGCCCGAGTTGCGCCGCCCTGACCGAGCCGCGCCGCCCCACCTGCAGCAACTGCTGTTCCTGTTCTTGCTGCTACAGCTGTCCTTATTGCTTCAGCTGCTCCTACTACTGCTCTTACTGCTACTGCTACTGCTGCCACTATGGCTACACCCAGAGTTCTCTCTTTCGATGCTGAGGGCCGTCCGCTCCAGTTTGATGCCTGGCTCGACGATCTCCACCTCTTCCTCCAGATCACTGCTAAGGATCATGTATCGCTGTATGACCATGCGTCTGGAACCGCTCTAGCACCTGCCGGCACTGCTGACAGTACAGCTCGCTCCCAGTGGCAGACTCGTGACGCCCACGCTTGCCTAGCCATTCGCAGCCACCTCCCGTTAGATGAGCGCGCACACTTTGGCTAGCATAAGACTGCTAAGGCACTGTACGATGCACTCGTCGCTCGCTACTCCTCGCCTGCCTTTGCTACGATCGGCCGTCTCTCTGCCCTATCTTTTCCTCGACCTCGCCGCCTTTCCCACAGTCGCTGACCTCATAACCCACCTCCGCACTAGTGACACTTGCTACCGAGCCGCCCTTCCTGCTGAGTTCCTCGCCAAGAACCCCCCCCCCCCCCCCCCCCCGATGACCCTCGTTCTCTACCATCTGCTTGCAACTGAGTCTAGCATAGTTGCTGTAGGTGCCTCTCGTGGCGACCCCCACACGCCCTTCTTTGACGGGTGTTCCCCTTCCCCCCTTCTCCCCTCGGTTGCCTCTGCTGCCGCTGTCGACTTCCTTGGTGCTGAGGAAGTCGGGGCTGCGTCTGCTCCTAGCTAGAGGTGCAAGGGCAAGGGGGGCAAGGGTGGCGGCGGTGGGGGCGGTGGGGGTGGTGGCAGCGGTGGGGGTGGTAGCGGGGCTGGGGGGGTGGGTGGCAGCGGCGGGGGTGGTGGCGGCAGTGGTGGTGGAGGAGGCCGGGGAGGAGGTGGTGGTGGTGGAGGCAGTGGGCGTGGGGGTGGCGGCTCAAGTGGTGGTCGGGGTGGACTGGCGCAGCGTGGAGGCTCGGGTGGTGTCCAGCGCCAGCAGCAGCGTCTTGGAGAGACTGTCAAACATTGTATGATGTGCTTGTTTAGGCTACAGTGGGTTAGCCTATAGTGGGTACACATTTCTAGGGTTAGGTTTGACCTATTTGTACCCAACACTCATTCTAGTCATTCATTCTCGTTTCTGATTCTGACATGGTATTACGAGCCTAGGTTCCACCTAGGACCGAAACGATAGGGCCCACCGTTTCCGCTAGCCGCGCCCTCGTGCGCCGCCTTTTTTTCCTGCGCCTCGAGCGCATCGTTCTTAAGGCCCCCTAAGGCCCTCTCGCGTCGCCCCTTAAGGCCCCTCACGGCCCCTCGCGTCGCCCTCTTAAGGCCCCTTACGGCCCGGCGCTAGCCTCTCAAGGCCCCGTGTGGCCCCGCGCTAGCCTCTCACGGCCCCCGATCGGCCCCGCGCTAGCCTCCTAAGGCCCCCGTCGGCCCCGCGCTAGCCTCCTAAGGCCACCGATCGGCCCCGCGCTAGCCTCCTAAGGCCCCCGTCGGCTCCGCGCTAGCCCCTCGCTAGCCTCCTAAGGCCCCCGATCGGCCCCGCGCTAGCCTCCTAAGGCCCCCGTC